GAAGGATCATATAGGAAATTCCCTCACAACCCTCTGAATAGTTACAAAATATATACAATGTTTGTTTTCAGTAGGGATTCTAAATATAGATACCTATGTATGTATGCATTGCATAATGTACACAGAAAGAGCTTTGCACAAGCCAGCTAGCAAGGATAACAGCAGCACAGGAAAGTAACACAGCATGAGCATCAGAAATGTCCAGTGAACACAGTACATACCCAGGGTCTATGCCAGACTTGTACAACGTGCACCAAAGCACGCTGTGCTGCCTTCATTATTGTTGTTACTTGTCCTATCTGAATTCAAGCTAGTGGGCTCATGCAGCCATATCAAATTGACTGACAGTTAGTGGGATGTTAATCATCATCTTTTCTTCATGTAACTCCAGCAGTTCAATTTATGTAGACAATTTTTTAGCTGACCAGAAAGTTTTAATTACAATGGTGACCTCTTCTTTCTCCATGAAAGCAAGTTTCCATGAGGACCAGAATAACCTCAACTATTTTCCCTCTCCTTGAATTTTTGGAGCTACTTCTTGGAAGTACTTTATAGTTCCACATATTCAACAGCAACTTACTCATTATTCTTGAAGGAACTGCAAAATTCAGGAGGAAGAAACTGAGCACTGATTGCACTGCAAGTTCCATGGGCAATTTCTTTTCTCGGGAACACACAAACACCTGGTATCTACAATAGGGTAGTTTGCCCTTTATAGGCTGAAGATCTGGGTCAACCAACTGTGTTTATTGAAAGACCATACCTGGGAGAGATCATAGGACTGCCCTGTAAAAAGCACCAAGAAGCTACAGAGATGGGGAAACTCATGAAGCTATATCAGAGCAAGTAAATAAGACTTCAGCATTGAAGACCATGAGACCAGGAAAACTGAGAAGTCGGAGCCAGGAAGCTGAACTCTAGCCAGGTAAAGCCTGGGAGTGACTGCTAACTGAAGACCCTCCTCTAGGAAAGAGACTTGGGGACCCCCTATCTAGGAAAGGGAAGGAAGATAGACACTCAACTAGAGTGGGTCTAAAGGACCAATATTTACCCAGAAGAGTGAATGAATTTTACCCCTTGAAGAAGAGTGTTTGGGTGCTTCAAACTCAAAACACAACCCAATGAGAGAAATTAAGGCACAGTGCCTGCGCAACAAGCTCTTACCACAAGGGGGTGCTCAGCAGGGGCCAACTCCCTACTACAATTCCCACGTAATCAGAACACCCAGAAGAACTAATAGTGTGCCCACTATTAGTTACATTTATTTTAACTCACCAAAGTTTGATGAGAAATTGATCATGGTCTTACTGAAATCTTCCAATTAAGTTAACCGTAAGGGTGGCAGCAAATTAATGAGTTGGTTAAATCAGAGGTTTGTTTTTTTTTTTTTTGTTTTTTTTTTAAAGATCAGAAAATGTCAACATATTTACAAATACCTAATTTTGATTAAACACAAAATATTTTTTTAATGATCTACTAACTTAGTATTGCAATTATTCCCAATACCCCAAAATTAGTAAATTAGAGGCTGCTTTGTCTATGATGATTAAAATAAATTTGCAATAGTTACCATCAGGATTCAATGCCCAGGTTTTGAAGTGTGTGGGATCTTGTTGATACTGAATAACAGCTGTTGTTTCGTAGAAATCGCCTTCAAATTGAAATGAGTATTTCTTCAGGTCATTATGTGGCAAACCTTCTACGAAATGTAGCATAAATATTGAAGGTACTCTATGATAAAGATACAAATCTTTTATTGGAACAAAACATTAGCACAAGCGATTAATAAAGTCACATGCAATGCATGTTGAGAATGGTAGCTCCTGTACATTACTGTTCTACTGCTGTTTACTAACCTAGGACTGCTTTATGAATTATACACAAACGGCTGGAGGCTCATAGAAACAGGGTGCACCAATTTTCAATCATAATTCTACTTAGTGAAACAGATGTCATCTTATTGCTTCGTTTGCTAAGGAGGGGAAAAAAACTAAAGAAAATGTTGTTTGGGAGAAGGACAGGAATTGATACTTCTGCCAAATCTAAACCCAGATGGGTGACTACAGTTCAGACCAAAACACTGAACATTATAAAGTGGTAGTTTTATTATCCCTCATTACCAGATGCTTGGGGGAGACTGATATTCAGCACTGAGCTTTACAACTTAGCTCAAATGAAATATCTGCTTAGTGCATTACACTGAATAAAAATATTCCCCATATATTGAACACTGAGAATTTTAAGAATGGGTAACTGAACATTTAGCAGAATAGAAACTTGCACTTCAGTGTCTCTCAAGTCATAAAGGTGACAGATTGTTAACATTAATGATCTAGTTTACATTAAAGATCAAGTGGTTCAGACTTACTTTTCCAAAATCATTTTTCTTCTTTGAGATTTATCATTACATGCATTACAGGGAGCAACATGAATAGCATTAAGTGGGTGCCAGTCAGGGATTACATTTGTAAATGTCGTCAGAGTCTTTCTACACCTGGACAAGAAAAAACACCAACAACATTCGATCGGCTGTCTCTACCTGAAATGCTCAAAAACAGTATTAGCATTTACCAAAAAGTAAAATCATAAACTAACAGGCTAGATAGAGTGTTGACTGAAACCAAGCACCTTTGCCACTAACATCCGTGGCACTTCCAGTGGCATAAATATAAACTGAATTTGCCTCAATCCTTCAATCAACATCAATCAGCAAACCTTTATACAGAATATAATAAAATAAAAATGTTTTTTCTGCCATTCATCTGTTCACTTTCAATATCAAGTTTTATACTCAAATGAAACATGTCTTTAAAGAAATTCCTGAAAATATTTTTACAGCATGCACAAACCATTCAGGACACTTTGATCTGTTACACTAAACACAACTGCCATTTAGATTAGTTGAAGGACCCCTCACTACACGTGCCTAGTAAACATTTTAAAAAAGTGATAGACAATTTCAATTTTCCAATTACGTGAAAAAGGATCAGATTTATAATTTCCGACTATCCCATTTAGATGAGTTTATTCTATTGAAAGGAGACAGGCAAATCCATTTACTGGGTACATTATTATTACTATATTCATTAGAACAGCAGCAGTTTGTGCTATTTACATTGGGCAACAACAAAAAGTCAGCTGTTGATTATTTTTCTTACACATAGAACACCATTATAAGATTAGATCAGACACCACTGTATAGGATACTGTTAGTAAATGCTGACTTTTTAAAATGGTGATCAGATAACTTCACCAACACAACTCATCCTCTCCCACCAAACACACACACTTTGTGAACAGCATTGGTATGAAGAAAAATAACTATGAAGTGAAGACGGAAAGCATATTAATACATGTAAATGAATGAGGCTTAGATAAAAACCTGACCTGTCTTGGTGGCTGTAGCCACAATGTAAACATTCAAACATCCATGAAAAAGAATGCAGGAAAAGTGCTTCAGCTTGGGGGTCCTTTCGTAAAAGCAAAGGGAATGCAAAGACTGGACTTTCTTCCTCACCTTCAAAGAAAAAGAATAAAAGATATGTTTGCAACTACCAAAAAACCCCAAACCCACCGAGAGGGAAGACAGGACTATACTATAGAATGATACATCATTCCCACAGTAAATGAGAGATGAATGGAGGTCTCATGAATAACTTAATGGGGTATAGCTATGGTTAGCAAAAGAGTAACACAGACCCTTGAACTTTAAACTCTGAAGAAAACAGAGATCAGCTCAATGGAGAAAAATGAGCACCTGCACAATTCTGCACTTCTGATCTTGCACTGTGCTTGTTCACATGTGACATGCGGCCACCTTAAAGACGAACAGATTTAATTGGGCATAAGCTTTCATGGATCTACTTAGTCAGATACATGAAAGTTTTTGACCCAAGAACACTTATGCCCAAGTAAATCTGTTCATCTTTAAGGTGCCATAGGACTCAGACTGTTTCTGTAAAAACAACAAGAACAAAGCTCTCTCTTTGAGACTTATATTTCCAATACAGTAAACTTCCGATAATCCGGTACCTTTAGGACTCAGGGGGTGCCGCATTATCAGATATGCCAGACTATCGGGGGGGGAGGGCGCTATGAGGGGTCTAGGGTGGTGTGGGGGGATGCCACCCCAGACTCCTCATAGCCACCCCTTCCGATAGTCCGGCTCTGCCCCAGGCATCCTCGATTCAGCCACTGCTGGTCAGTTTCAGCAGCAGCTGAATCAGGACGCCAGCAGCAGTGCAGCTGGGTTGGTCCAGTAGCGCCGAGGAGCTACGCTACCGGAGCACCCCAGCTGCTCTTCCCCAGGTGTCCCCAAGTCAGCCGCTGCTGAAACTAGCTCGGCCTCGGGCTTCCTGGAGTCAGCTGTTAGTCAGTTTCAGCAGCGGCTGAATCGGGGACAGCTGGGGTGCTGCCGGGTTGGTCCCGCAGCGCTGAGGGGCAGCGCTATGGGACCTACCGGCAGCACTTCAGCTGCTTTGCCCCCAGCTTCCCTGATTCAGCCACTGGTCAGTTTCAGCAGCGGCTGAATCGGAGAATCCGGGGGCAGAGCAGCTCCAATGGTCCGGCTGCCCAGAGCACTTCCGGGTTCCTGATGGTGCCGGACTATCAGATGCCAGACCAATGGAGTTTTACTGTATTATGAATAAACAGTGAAAAATGTGGAATTGTTGATAATTTAGGACAAGCTGCTGTGAGCACATTCCAGAGGATACAAGGATATGAAGCTTACAGAAGGGAGACAGCTCTGCTTTCTACTGATGCCGCAGAGCATCTCAAAGAACTCATCAAGAATTTGGTACAACTGGGGAGTTAGAGGAGACACTATCAACCTTTGTGCACATGCTGTTCTGTTGTAGCTGTGAATCTCCTAGGGCAAAAGCTTTCATAAAATCACTGCAGCTCTTTCCTCCCCCTCAGTAAATTACTTTTACTACGTTTTCATATATTATGAAGAGTTCCATGCGTCACTACCTGCCCTCCAAGCACCCAAGATTATCCAGCTATTATATTTTAATCTGCTTATTTTGTGTCCATATTGTATCACATCACCTGTATTATCTTCATCATTCACCACACTTCTTCTCCACCCCATTTCTTTTCAATTAAGAAAGAAAAATTACTGTAATTATAATCAGAGGAAAAAAATTCTGCTTCTCAGTATAATTACTTTGTGTATTTGACAGCACTTAGGAAATTTCAGTGCTTTGACAGTCAGCTACACTTTGTCTTAAACGGTCATGGAATTACCATTCCTAATTAGCAGTAGTCAGAGTCATCTATTATATATTTTAGAGGGTTTGTCCATTTGATCAAGAACTGCTCCTAAACAGTAAGGCTGTGTCTAGACTGGCCAGTTTTTCCAGAAAATCAGCCGCTTTTCAGGAAAAACTTGCCAGCTGTCTACACTGGCCGCTTGAATTTCCGCAAAAGCACTGACTTCCTACTGTAAGAAATCAGTGCTTCCTGCGGAAATACTATTCTGCTCCTGCTCAGACAAAAGTCCCTTTTGCGCAAAAGGGCCAGTGTAGACAGCTCAGATTTGTTTTCTGCAAAAAAGCCCTGATTGCGAAAATGGTGATCGGGGCTTTTTTGCGGAAAAGCGCGTCTAGATTGGCACGGACGCTTTTCCGCAAAAAGTGCTTTTGCGGGAAAGCGTCCGTGCCGACCTAGACGCTCTGTTCTGAAAATGCTTTTAACGGAAGACTTTTCTGTTAAAAGCATTTCCGGAAAATCATGCTAATCTAGACGCAGCCTAAGAGTACATACATCTACATGAGTTTTCTTGGCAAAAAATATGTTAATGAGGGACTCATTTGCGTGAGTCGTGACCTCATTTCATATTTTCTGCTGATCTGTTTTTGAGCTAGAGTTTGTGTGTAAAAACAAGCAGTGTGAACATTCTTTTTTCTCAAAACCCCTTTTCCGGCAAGATCGGGCAAGATCCTTATGCCCCAAAATAGAAGGTTTACTGATCTTGCGGGAAAAGTTTTTTGCACAAAAAGAAAACATCCACACTGCTTGTTTTGGCACAAAAACGGATCGGCAGAATACGGAAATGAGATCATGACTCACGCAAATGAGTCCCTCATTAGCATATTTTTTGCCAAGAAAACTCGTAATGTAGACGTAGCCTAAGAGTTAGGACCGCCGAACATGGTCTGCTAGGACTGTACTTGCTTTGGTGATTCTGTCTCTTTTCTGTTGAGTTTTGAGAAGCAATCCCATTCCAGGCACATCCTGTTTTCCTGGCACAACCAAACCCTTACGTTGCTTTAAGTTATTATAAGAGAGAGCTGCATACTGAATTTGGTGGACCTAGCTTTTACAATTTAGGAGGAGTTCCTGATCAAATAGACAAACTCTCTAAAATATATAGTAGATTAAAACTCCAAATACATAAATGAAGTAGACAAAAAGGAGAAATGCAGAAAAGGGTGTTGTAATAATAATAGTTAAAAAAAAGATGCACATGGTTAATTTTAGAAAATTAAAATCAGGTTTAAAAAACATAATTGTGTTACAGACCTGAGCAATGCTAGGTAAATCTGCTAGTTAAAGTGTAATTAACCCTACATTAAGTCCCTGTTGAACATCCAGTTTAAGCAAGGGACCACCTTCTCTCTTCCAGCTCTTCCATATGATACTATGATTCTAGGAAGAGACCTCAGAAGGTCATCAAGTTCAGCCCCCTGCTCTAGGCAGGATCAATCCCAACTAAATCAATCTTGCCAGGGCTTTGTCAAGCCGAGACTTAACAGCCTTTCTCCAGCCTCTTCAGGAAGCTGGAGACTGCTATCAAATCCCCCCTCATTCTTTGCTTCTGCAGACTAAACAGACCCAACTCCCTCAGCCTCTCCTCATAGGTCATATGCTCCAACCCCCTAATCATTTTGGTTGCCCTTCGCTAGACCCTCTCCAATGGGTCCACATCCTTTTTGTAGTAGGGGCCCCAGAACTGGACACAATACTCCAGATGGGGCCTCACCAGAGCCAAATAAAGGGGAATAATGACATCTCTGGATCTGCTGGCAATGCTCCTCCTAATGCCATCTAATATTCCATTAGTTTTCTTAGCTACAAGGGCACACTGTTGACTTATATCCAGCTTCTCATCCACTGTAGCCCCCAGGCCCTTTTCTGCAGAACTACTACTTAGTTGGTTGGTCCCCAGCCTGTAACAATGCTTGGGATTCTTCCATCCTAAGTGCAGGACTCTGCACTTGTCCTTGTTGAACCTCATCAGATTTCTTGTGGCCCAATCTTCCAATTTGTCTAAGTCACTCTGGACTCTATCTACCTCTCCCCCTAGCTTAGTGTCATCTGCAAACTTGCTGAGGGTGCAATCCATCCCCTCATCCAGGTCATTAATAAAGGTATTGAACTAAACTGGTCCTAGAACCGAACCTTGGAGCACTCCGTTAGAAACCAACCACCATCCTGACATCGAGCCATTGATCACTACCTGCTGGGCCCAACCTTCTAGCCAGCTTTCTATCCATCTTACCGTCCGTTTATCCAATCCACATTCCCTTAACTTGCTGGCAAGAATATTGGGGGAGACTGTATCAAAAGCCTTGCTAAAGTCAAGGTATATCATATCCACTGACTTTCCCACGTCCACAGAGCCAGTTACCTCATCATAGAAGCTAATCAGATTGGTCAGGCACGACTTGCCCTTTGTGAATCCATGCTGACTATTCCTAATCACTTTCCTCTC